ACCACGTTTCCTAATCTGAACTATTTGTTGTACCCTTTGTATATATCATTTTTTAAAATAAATTAAGTAGATCCGATAATCGTAACATGTTTGATTTATTAAGTTTATTTCCAACAAAAACAACAACAAGAACAAATAAAAAAAAAAAATTGAATGACAAATGTGCTGTTGAAAATAGACCATTTTTTTTTTCTTTTCATAACAAATGTCATAAAATAAACAACCCATAATTACCAAATGGATCTAAAGTTAGCTAACGTTAGCAAGTAAACAAATGTTAGCTTCATGATTAAAATGACTAAAATTGGTAACTTCAAAGATCAAATGACAAAATTAGAACTTGAGGAACTAAAATAGCAATTAGTATATATTTTAGGGACTAAAATTGTTTTTTATCTTTCAAAAAATGTCATTATTATATCATTCTAACAACACATTTAATATAAAATTTATGTTTACAAATCAGTTTAAAAAAAAAGAAGAAAACATTCCAACAAAATCAAACCTCATACTTGCTGATATGCACATTTCATTTCATAATGTAACTCATGAAATCATTGAGGGAGTAAGTAATTAGACAAAGAAATTAATTGATTAGCAATTAATTATCTTTACAAAAAAAAATTGTTCAAATTATGTGTTAGATTTGTATCCATTTACTTAAGGAGAACAAATTATCTCCAGTATGAAGTCTGAACTACTCGGTGATGTTCGGGTCCACCACTCAAGAACTTTTTTTCCTTCGAGGATTTTAAGTAGGAGTTTGAAAGAAGAGAAATGAAGGAGATAAGGGTGCGAGATGGAGGTGGAAGGTTAGCACTGTTATCATTTAAATTAGTACAACATATGAAAGAAACATGACTATCTATTGAAGAATGGATTTTTGATTGGTGTGAATCCATAACTGATTGGGAAAAAAGGCTGTATGTTGCTCATGAAAGGTGTGTGTGGATTACCTGTGTGGGTGTTCCACTTAACTTGTGGAGTGTCCACACTTTCTCAGATATTGGTAAACTATGGGGGGAAGCTGTTCAGTTGGATGACAATATTCTTAATCATAACTCCTTCTAGCATGGTAAGGTTAGAATTATTACGAACAGATTTGAGCTCATAAACACAGTGATCAAGGTTGAATGCAATGGTAAGTTCTTCCCAGTTCGTGTGTGTGAGGATTTATCAGTGTTTGTCACTCCTTGTGTTTGTCAACAACAAAGCCAAGGGAGTGAGAAGGTAGCTTCCAAATCTCAAGAACAGGTTGATCAAATGTCAAAACATGATAATGGAGATGAGGATGATGAGAACGCAAAGGCAGGGAATGAGGAAATGTCAATGATAGATGATGTTGCAAGCAAAGAGCAAGGCATGACAGTCACAGATGCTGAGGAAAAGGGAAGAAGCAATAAATGGGTGTCTATATTAGCCATAAAAGAGACTAGGTGTGATGTGGAAAATCCAAATGATGGAGGTGTCTGTATGGAGGTAGGTCTGCAACAGGTGGGTAGCTCAAGAAAAGAGGTAGCAAATGAAATTCAAAAAACTACAAGTCAGATATGTTCCACTGGATTCATTAGGAGTTTTAGTGGGCTAGAAAATTTAAGGCCCAATATCAATTTAGAGGTTGTATTAAATAAGGCACAACTTGGGGACTTGGTAGATGGGCCTATCATAGAGGCTTCTAACCTTAGTGATTGTGCAGAACACACGCAGCCAAGTCCACTGGTTACTATATCAGCCCAACTGGGTGTGAACATGTAACGCCCTCAAAATAAACCCATAATTCATACATTCATGATACAAGAAATTGACAATATATTCAAGAGAATAAAGTGTACACCTATTTATCAGAGTGTTCATCACAAAAGTATTACATGTTGACAACAAAAGTAAATGCCCTATGGGCTTACAACTTTCCAAGCCAACACTTGGTTACAAAAAAAGAGAGTACTAACTCTTACATATTTAGCCCTCGGCCTGAATTTACATGTAATACACAAAATGGTAAACAACAAAAAAAAAAAGATCTTCAGCCTTTAAGCCTCCCAAGCTATGTTCTTGGAGGTGGCATATCACCTGAACTTGAACATGATGTCCTATATAGGGTGAGCCAATGCCCAGTAGAGATATACTAAACCATGTATGAGAAATAACTAAAACAATAGCATTTGATATATGGTTGACACTTATAAACCAACTTACAACATTTTTCAATTCAACATCAAGTACATCCATTTTTCATTTCAGTTTCCTTCACTTATACAGTTTTGATTCATAATTATGGCTCAGAACCTGGCCAAACAATTCAATGAGTCTATAACACATATTAAAACACTTCCTTACTTCACAATTCACATGAGAATATAACTCATATTAAAACACTTCCATACTTCAACACTTCTATATTTCAAATGATACATAGATTTGCTATATCAGTGGAGTCCATCCCCTATCTCCTCCCAAACCATGGAGTACATCCCCTATCTCCTCCCAAACAATATACATATACAATATATTTAAACGCTTATCATATACAATGATCAATCAATACATACATTTGTTGTATTATTCCAACCGTCATATTCAATGACATATTCAATGTGATTAGTTTCAGTTTTCCTTAATCATCATACAATGTCTACAATAATCAAGACTATCCTCCACCGATAGCCCAAAGCAGTTATTTCTAAACAGATAATAAATTTATCGAACAGATAAATAATCAACAATTTCATAAGTGGGTGATAAATTAATCCAACCACACCATTCAATTACAATTCCATCCAATTTAATGATTTCCAACCCAATTTCATATTTCTCCAAATTAATTATTCAACACAATTAGGGCATTTTCCCCTTTTTCCATTATCAACCCTAAGGTTCAATTTCATCAATTTAACAACAATAATCCCATTTTCCAAGGTCTTACATACACATGGAGTTTAACATTTGAAAACCCCCTTTTATAAATTACACTTCAAACCCTAACTTTTCTCGAAATTACCCAACAACACCATCTAATCAAAATGACTAAAATTTATGTTAAAACTCATAGAATGGAGTAGGTTATCCCTACCACAAAAGAAGAGACCCAATGGAGAAGATGAAGAAAATCCAAGATGCTCCAAATCCACAAATTTTCTGATTGAAATGTAGCCCACACCAAGCTCCACACTTTTAACAAAGGGACTAGGGTAGAAACACACTAGAACTAGATGGATTTGTAGAGAGAAGTGGTGGTTTAGAGAGAGAGGCAGCCGTTCTAGGGTTTGAGAGAAAAATGAGATGAAGAAGTAAAGAAGAAGAAATTGCTGCTATCAACTGATATATTCGAGGCTCGCTCGAGCAAAGGATTGGTCGCTCGAGTGACCAGACACAAAGAAACCTCGCTCGAGCGTAGAAAGCCTCGCTCGAGCCAACAAATCAAAGCTTCAGGTCTGCAACCAAGAAGCACGCTCGAGCAAAGAAAAGCTCGCTCGAGCGATAAAACCCAAAACATAGTCCTCGCTCGCTCAAGCCAAGAAATGCAACTCTCAGGTCCAGAACCAGACGCAGACACACGCTCGAGAGAAGGAACCCTGGCTCGAGCGAAGGAACTAAAACACAAATCTCGCTCGAGCGACAAAAGCCTCGCTCGAGTGAAGAAACAAAAATCTGGGCAACAACTAATGGTTCAAACTCGCTACCAACCAGTAACAAACCTGCCAACATATCCTAAAACTCGTATACAAAGAATTAAAAGACGGAAATGAAACTTATACAACTACCAACACCACGGAACCTAAGTCCGAAATACAATAAACAATGGAGGGAAAACCGTGATCGCTATAGAAATGATGTATTGAACTTCTAGTTTATTTGTGATTTTGAGAAATTTAAATTGTCTTTATCAAATTATCAAGAATAGATGTTGATGAGAGTTTTTTAAAAAAAAAATGTAAAATTTGCATAAATTCTTTATTTATCTTAGTAAAAGTTAAAAAAATAAAAAGGGCTTCTTGTTTATTTGTGTTTTTAAGAAATTTAAGTTGTTTTTATGAGACTACTAACAAACAATTATAAAATTGATATAAATTCTTTATTTATCTCAGTGAAAGAATTTCTGAAATAATGCAACTCTCAGGTCCAGAACCAGACGTAGACACACGCTCGAGAGAAGGAACCCTGGCTCGAGCGAAGGAACTAAAACACAAATCTCGCTCGAGCGACAAAAGCCTCGCTCGAGCGAAGAAACAAAAATCTGGGCAACAACTAATGGTTCAAACTCGCTACCAACCAGTAACAAACCTGCCAACATATCCTAAAACTCATATACAAAGAATTAAAGGACGGAAATGAAACTTATACAACTACCAACACCATGAAACCTAAGTCTAGAATACAATAAATAATAGAGGGAAAACCGGGATCGCTACAGAACAATAGGGGCATTTCAGTAAGAAAGGGAAAGACCAGTGAAAAAGCCATCAATCGTAGTTTGAGAAAAAACACTGATATAAAGAATAAGGGAAAGTCAAACCGTAAGCAACTGAAGAACAAAGGTGTGCTGTTCAGCAATGGTCTGCAAAAGGGAGCTATATTTCGGGCAGCAGCTGCTGCAATCTCATTATCAGTCTCCTAGAGTTCAGACGCAAGGAGAATGAGGAAGATATTGACTAAAGCACAAGCCATAGTCCAAGTCGGGAAAATGTTAGGGTTGAATTGTAAAGGCAAGGAGGAGGAGGTGGTAAACAAAATAGTTGAGTTAGAGGAAAAGGATCTTGAAAGAATGAAAGGCTTAGATGCAGCCTCCTAAGTTAATTGGTTGTTACCAGGAGGTTGGTGTATGTTAGTAATTTTGTTATGAAGATATTATCTTGGAATGTTAGAGGGCTAAGAAGTCCTGAAAAGAGGAGGCATATAAAGAATTTGGTTAGGGAGAGAAAGATTGATGTCTTATTGTTACAAGAAACAAAGAGATGCAATGTTGATGCAAACTTTGTTAAGTCATTTGGCCTTGGGAGGAGATGGACTTCATGGAGGCTGGTGCAGAGGGTAGTGCTGGAGGTATGCTATGCTTGTGGAATCCAGATATATTTGCTTTACAGGAATGCTGCAGTAATAGAAACTTTGTTCTGTTGCCAGGTACTTTAAACCACTCTTTTGATTGTTTTATAGTAAGTATTTATGCTCCAAATGAAATACTGAAAATGAGGCAGCTATGGGAATCTCTGTTGAGACTTAAATCTACTTTTGCAAGACCTTGGTGTGTAGGAGGTGATTTCAATGAAGTTAAAGTTATGAGTGAAAGGAAAGGGTGTTTGAGGAGGGATAGAGGAATAAAGGATTTCAATGAGTTAATTGAAAACTTGGAGCTGATTGATATCCCAATGATTGGCAGAATCTTTACATGGTGCAATGCTTTGGATGGGGATAGGTGGAGTAGGATTGATAGATTCCTACTTGACCATAAATGGTTGGAAAAGTTCTCATTTAAGCAGTTGGGGCTACCTAGAAGTATTTCTTACCACTGCCCTGTATTGTTAATGGAAGATGAGAGGGATTGGGGTCCAAGGCCTTTCAAGTTTATAAATGCTTGGAGATTACATCCTAATTTTAAATCTGAAGTGAGGAAATCTTGGAATAATAGTCAGGTTAGCGGTTGGGCTAGTTATAGGTTTATGAAAAAGCTGGGGAATCTCAGAGCACATCTCAAAAGATGGAATAGTGAAGTGTTTGGAAACATTGATGAGCAATTGAAACAAGCTGAGGCTGAACACCATGACTGGGATATTAAGGCTGAAGGCAGGAACTTGCTGGAACACGAGGTCAAAAGGAGAAGGGAGGTTAGGAAGCTAGTCTACGATCTGAACAAAAAGAAGGAGTGTTTATGGCATCAAAAATCCAGACTGACATGGCCAACCAATGGGGACAAAAATACAAGGTTTTTTCATATCTTGGCTAGTAGTAGGCAAAGAAAAAATTTGCTAGATTCTGTCAAAGAGAATGGTGTCATCTATGATCAGCCAGATGTTATGAAACAGGCAGTAGTGAGATATTTTAGCCAATTATTTTCTGAGGAGTGGAAGATTAGGCCCAAACTGTCAGGAGTATTTGTCTCAATTGGTCCTAAAGCCTCAGAGTTGTTAGAGGTAGAGTTTTCAGAGGAGGAAATTTGGGAAGCAGTCAATGATTGTGATAGTAACAAAGCCTCGGGGCCTGATGGATTTAATTTATCTTGCATCCAGAAATGTTGGAAGATAATGAAAAAAGAGATAGTACAACTCATGTCTGATTTCCATTCTAATGGTAAGTTGGCTCGAGGTGTGAACAGTTCTTTCATTACTCTTATCCCCAAAAAAGATAATTCCTTGGGTCTGAGTGATTTTAGGCCTATTAGTTTGATAAGTTTATATACAAAATTGTTGCTAAGGTTTTATCTAGAAGATTGAGAAAGGTACTTCCAAAGATAATTAGTGAAGTGCAATCGGCCTTTTTTAGTGGAAGGTGTATCCTAGATGGGGTGCTAATTGCCAATGAAGTGGTAGATTGGTGGAAGAGATCAAAGAAACAAGGCATCATCCTTAAACTGGATTTTGAAAAGGCATATGATTCAGTAAATTGGGAGTTCTTGTATTCAATGTTGACCAATTTTGGTTTTGGAGAGAAATGGGTGAGGTGGATGAAAACATGTATCTCTACAGCTAGAGTCTCAGTGCTAGTTAATGGCTCACCTACAACAGAATTCTCTCCAATGAAAGGCCTCAGGCAAGGTGACCCACTTTCACCCTTCCTATTTAACATTGTTGCAGAGGGTCTTAACTTATTGATGTCAAGAGCTAAAGAAGTGGGTTTGATAAAAGGAGCTTCAATTGGTCCAAATGATTTGAGATTATCTCACCTTCAGTTTGCAGATGATACCATTATATTTTGTGAAGCAGATGTGGGGGAAATTATTGCTATTAAGCGAATTCTTAGATGTTTTGAGGTATTGTCTGGACTTAAAATTAATTTCCACAAAAATCAGGTTTGTGGAATAGGTGTACAGGATGATCTAGTGAAAGTTTTTGCAAATAGGCTACATTGTCATAGCCAAAAGCTACCTCTGAAGTATTTGGGTCTGCCTTTAGAAGCAAATCCAAGGAGAAAGAGCACCTGGCAGCCAGTGGTGGACAATTTTAAGGTGTTTGTCTTTTGCAGGTAGAGTAACCTTGATAAAATCAGTGCTGTCTAGTTTGCTAGTCTATTTTTTATCTTTGTTTAAAATGCCAGTGGGTATTGTAAAATCACTTGAAAAAATTCAGTCTAATTTCCTCTGGGGTGGATCTGAATTAAGGCGAAAAGTGCATCTAGTTAGTTGGAAGGAGGTAAGCTTGAGTAAGTTACAAGGAGGTTTAGGGGTCAGAAACTTGAGAGAGGTCAATGATTGCCTACTTCTAAAGTGGTGGTGGAGGTATGGTAAGGAGGAGAATGCTTTGTGGAAAGAGGTGTTGTGCAGCAAGTATGGTGGGTTTGGCGGCAAATGGAGTCCGTTACATGTGGTTTCAGGCATGATGTCTATTCTGTGGCAGGATGTCTTATCAGTGAACCTATCTAATCTTACTTTGAGTGCTTTCTTTCTCAACAATGTCAAAACAGTGGTGGGAAATGGTAGTAGGATTCAGTTACGGGTTGATAGATGGCTTAGCAATCAGAGTCTTAGTGAAGTCTTTCCCAGATTGTTTTCATTGTCAACAAAGAAAGGGGAGTCACTGCTGCATTTTGTCCAAAGGAAAGGAGAGGGTCGCAATTGGAAGTTTTCTTTTAGAAGGCCCCTATTTGCTTGGGAAGAGGAGGAAGTGTCTAAATTGAATGTTTTGTTACAAAATGCTCCTACCATAAATACTTTGGTTGAAGATTCTCGTCTTTTGTTAGCCTACTCTTCTGGGTTTTTTACTGTAGCATCTGTGTGCAAATCATTGGAATATACTAAAGGTCTTGTAAAATCCATTACAAGGACCATTTGGAAGAATATAGCTCCACCCAAAGTGCAATTCCTGAGTTGGCTAGTTTAGAGAGGTAGAGTTAAATCCTCAGTTTTTTTGCTTAGGATTGGCGTGTTGAACCCTAATGCCAACCCACTGTGTGTGTTTTGCAAGTCTGAAGTGGAGTCCATGAATCATGTGCTGCTTCACTGTCATCTGATATGGGGAGTCTGGTCTGAATTTGTCAATTGGTGGAATCTGAGTTGGTGCATCCCTGGTTCAGTGGAGGATCTACTTCAATGGTGGTCAGGTATTAGTCAGAAGGCTAAGCTGAAGGAAATTTGGAAGGTAGATCCTTTAGCAATGTTGTGGTCTGTATGAAAGCTCAGAAATGAGTGTGTGTTTAAAGAAGCAAGACCAGATTTTGCAGAATTAACAGAGTTGGTAAAGGTTAGAGTCACTTTATGGGCAAAATCAAATCTGAAAGAAATGCGTACTCAGTGCATGACATTGTATCTAATTTGAAACAGGTATGTTATTGAATAAAGCTGGGAGTTGATGTGCTGCATAGCTAATCTGTTCTGTACTCCTCTGTGTCTTTGTATTCTAGGCCAGAGTTGGCTGATTTGCACTGGACTGATTGGTGGCTTCTCCATCCGCTACTGGCTGTTGCTGTGTGAATGGAGTGAATATAGATGTGTTATGCTGTTGTGACCTGTGTTACATTGGTCTAAATGGTGGCTTTTCCAACCTTTTCTGTCTGCTACTAATTGTGTTCTGCCCCTGGTTGCATCTTCATCTCTGTGTTGCAGTGGCTGGCTGCAACTTCATCTCTGTGTTCCATCATCTTCTGGCTGTGATTTGTGTTGCTTTAGTTCTGGATGCTTTGCTGCTGTCTGACCAAGATTGGTGTGAAATTCTGGCTGGTCTGAAATTCTGGTAGTTGTTTTCCATATGAAATTCTGGTGTATATTGGTTTGAAATTCTGGCTGGCTTGAAATGCTTGGGTGTTGGTCTCCATCTGCTGCAGTGTTTGGCCTCCTCCTGGAGGGGAGTTTACAGGTGATTAAAGCTCCTGCTGCTGATTCTGTGGTCAAGTTAAACCAGGCCAGCCAGATTTGGTGTTGTTTTAAGGAGATTAAAGCTGCATGATGCTGGAGTACTCATTAATTTGCTGAAAGGTAAAGCTTGGCTAGGCTGCTTGAGGTTGGGAGCTTTTATCTTTGGATGGTGTCTATGCTAGCATCTGGTGTGTAGTCTGTTGGTCTGCTATGCTTAGGTGCTAGCATTGGTTGGTTGGTTCTTCTTTCTTTTTTTTTGTTGGTCTCTCACCAACTAAGGGGTGCTAGCAAATAATAGGGTGAGCTCGGTGGTGCCAACCTCGATGGGATCATTTAGCTAACTGTGATGCTGTTGCACTTCCCTTTCCTTTATTGATGTTTTTGTCTTGTATCTTGTACTTGTTTATTTCATCAATAAAGTTTCTTTTTTTCCTGATAAAAAAAAAATAATTATCAAATGGATCTAAAGTTAGCTAAAGTTAGCAAGTAAACAAACGTTAGCTTCACGATTAAAATGACTAAAATTGGTAACTTCAAAGATCAAATGACAAAATTAGAACTTGAGGAACTAAAATAACAATTAGTACATATTTTAGGGACTAAAATTGTTTTTTATCTTTCAAAAAATGTCATTATTATATCATTCTAATAAAACATTTAATATAAAATTTATGTTTACAAATCATTTTCTTTTGAAAAAAAAAAAGAATTATAGCGATCCCGATTTTACCTTCATTGTTTAATTGTAATATATGAAAACTTTTCAAAGATTATGCATGATTATACTAGATTCATCTCATTAGTAAGATATATGTACATCAATTAGATGGTGACTAATCATTGATATCTATTTATGCAATGTATAGAAGACTAATGCTAATACATTGAATGTGATGGATTTATTATGAATGGATCTTAGAGATGCATTATGTATCTATTATGAATATGTAAGATACATTAATCTATCTAATGAATTCATTAATATAGAAGATGCATTATGTATCATGAATGTATGAGATACATTAATCAATTTAATGAAGTTCATTGAATGAATAACTTGAGAGTTTCTCTCTCTAGACTACATCTTCTCTCTATAAATACATCTAGTTCTAGTGATCTTCTACCCTAGTTCCTTTGTATTGAGTGTGGAGCTTCCCTTGATCTTCATTTTAATCTGAAAGTTTGGCGATTTGGAGCACTTTGGTTTTTGGCCTTCATCTTCTCCATTTGAGGTAGGGATTTCTTTGTTCTTTTTCAATACTCCGTCTATAGATAGACATGTGGTAATTTTGTATTGCATGAAAATCATATCCGTGTTGGATTTGTTTGAAAATCATGAGGGGAACCTAGGGTTGGTTGTTTGAGAATGGTTTTGTTATCATTGACTGTGGTTTGGACTAATTAGAGAATAAAATTAGCATGTTATTATTGAAAGAAGAGAAAGCCCTAAATTATATTTTGATTTGGTAAAATAAAAAGGGTTTATGGTTGAACAATGTTGGTAAATTTCTATTGTTAATATGAGTTGTGTAGAAGGTGTTAACAGTTAAAGGATTAATTATGGTATTGGAGTTATTTTGAAATGAACGTATTGAATCAAGTTGGGTTATGGCTTATTATCCATGGAATTGATTTTGTAAAATGAAAAAGTGGGGCGTGACAACTTGGTATCAGAGCGAGCCGGGTTTGAATACTTTGGGCTCGTGGGAAGTAGTTTTTACTACAGTGGGTTTGCTACATATGGTGAGGACGTTGCATATAGTTAACATGAATGTTAGGACTTGTTTGTTGCATTTATATGAGCATGGGATTAAGTTTTCTGGATAGTACTCGTAGCCGGTGAACTTGCTTTGAGGTCCTCTTGGAAACACGCCTGATCAACGTGGTTTCTGATAGGAATTCCTTGAGAGTTCCGGGATGAGTGACTATCTTTATGGACTTGATTCGATTATGTGTTTAAATGTTTAAATGTTTATATGCAATAGAAATGTATGTTTAAGGTAGTAAGTGTATGCCTCGGGAAAGGCTGTTGTGTTGTGCACTAAGTGTGGTTTTGTTTTTGGACTTTATAGGATGTCTACACGAGGGAGCATGAGATTTGTATCTTGGGTTAGAGGGAATAGTACCGGTGTGTGTTTTGGGCTTTGCTAGTTAATGAGTTTGTTGTGATTCCATCAGTTATGTATTTGGGTGGTGTTCGTACTGTGACTTGTTATCGGTTGGTGACTATGTGTGGGTGAAATGAGTTAGTGGTGTTATTAGTTATTGGGAATTTTGTTGTATTGATAAACTTTAAGAGCATTGAATATGTCTTAAGTTGTAAAACATTGTATATGTTTCGGTTTATGGAAATATTATGGAACTTGCCTTGAAATAGAAGTTTATTTTAACATTGCATATGTTAATTCGGTTTTAGAAATGCAAATATATTGATTGGCATTGAATATGTAATTGAACTGTGGAAAACTTGTGTTGAAATTTTTGAATTTCAAGGGAATGCATGTTGATGACGCATGTTGTAACATATGTTGTAATTTGCCTCATGAAAAGAGATGGAACGACCGGTAGTGAGTCAAGTCGATAAATATTGAATTGTAATATTGTTGAGAATTGAGAAATCATATTTTTGAAATTTATTTATCTAATTTCGGGGACGAAATTCTTTAAGGGGGGGAGGTTATAGCGATCCCAGTTTTCCCTTCATTGTTTAATGGTATTTCAGACTCGGTTCCGTGGATGTGTTGTTGTCTTTTTCTAGTTTCCATCCTTTATTCTTTGTATATGAGTCTTGGGTCTTGTTGGGTAGATTTAAAACACGTTGGTTGTGTTTGGAAACCAAGGGTTAGTGTCCATTAAATTTTCATAATGGTTCATTTAATATCAATTA